TCTCTCTCTCTCTCTCTCTCTCTCTCTCTCTCACACACACACACACACACACACACACACACACACACACACACACACACATGAACACCTTGAGCCCAATTGTGAACTTCCACTATACCTCTGAGACACCTTTGGAGCACCGCAGAATTAAGGTGTGTGTTTGAATAATCCAGGGGTGCAATAGATTGTCACAACTGTCATGGTCATCTCCAGATGCCCACTGTCCCCTCTGCCTGGGTTCTGCTTCCTAGAGTCCCAGGCAGGACAACGGGGCTAGCCAGGAATGGCATGAGCCCAGCCCAGCCTGGGAAGAGCTGCCCCCGCTGGTGCCTGGAAGAAGCACGGCACCTGCCCAGGGGAGGATGGAGCCTGCCAGACTCAGAGCAGAGGCCTGGGAGGCAGGTTACAGATGGGAAGGAGGAAGGCACCTGCTGCCAGGAAGTGTCGTCACCCTCTGCAGGGCCAGCAGGAGCCACAAATGCCAGGGAAGATGAAAAGCCGCCTCTGCCCTTTCTCCCCTCGGTTTCTTTTAAACACTGAAAGTGCTGATAAGAGGGAGGAAAGTGGCGGAGGCGGAGGCGGGTGCCACCACAGAGAAAGGCCGCTTTCTCTTGCTCCCACACTATTATTGCTCTCGAGAACCTGGGACCAGACGTGGTTTTCCTTTTAATAAGTTGCCGCTGTGATTGACAGGCTTTCCAAACACAAGCAATCTGGGGCATGGTTCTGTGTTTCTGTACCCAGGGAAACAGGCAAAAGACCCCACATGGGGCGTGGGATAGAGCGCCCCGGCCCATCCTCCTTTCCTGTTCTCCCTGTATGCTTCACCAGCCCTGGCTATACCTACCCATTGGGGATCATGGATTGCTCAGTCTTCTCACAGTAGGGCAGGAAAACTGAGGCAGAGAGAGCTGATCTTGCCTCGGATTTGGTACTGAGCTGGGCCCATCACAGGGGCTCCAGGATGCCCCTTGGGCCCATCCTGTACATCCAGTTCGGCCAGACTCTAGTCGCATCCCAAGGTCGTGGTCTTTCTCTGATGTCAAGTCTGCCTCACCCTGTGCGGGGACAAGGTGGCTTTAGTGAGTCAGGCAGGGCTGTGGCAGGCAGAACTCACAGCAGAGCAGAGGTGCAGGTATGGGGCCGCTGCCTTCCGTAGATGTTGAGGACTGTGGGAGAGATGAAGGACACCTTTTCAAATGGACAAGGAAGGTAAAGGAGATCTGCTCTGGCCATGGAGAGAATGAGTCCAGACTCCCTGGACTCAGCTGAGTCCTAGGTAGGGAGGAGTCAGAAGGCCATTCCAAGAGGGGCAAGACACATCAGACCCCTTCCAACCTAGTCTCGGCTCCCTGCCCTGCTGTTCCCTTCCATGAAGCAAGGAGCCTGGAGTCCAGACGACCTACACCCTGTCCTTGAGGTACAGACTGCATTTGTGGATCAGTTCCAGGGGCTTGACCCAATCCCCACCCTTCTTTCAAGGGCACACTGAGTCTTGGGGTGCCTCTCTCTCAGTGGGTGTGGGGGATTAGCACAAGATGGGTGGCTGTAGGTGTGTGAGTGGGTACCCTGGGGATTGAGGTGGGAGGGTAGGAAAGAAGGAGGGCCAAGAGCCTGAGAATGGGAGAGGGAGAAGGAGAAGTGGGGAGGGGCTGAGGGATTTGTCTGGGGCCAATGGCAGGCCTGCTTTCCTTGGGTCTCTGGTCCGTTCTCTGCTGGAGCCTCTCAGCTTACCCTGCCAGGGCACAGCGTGTGTTCCTTTCCCCAGGGCGCGGGGGAAACGCAGTGAGGGGCCAATGGGAAGGAGCAGTTAGTGTGCTTCATTCAGCAAGGCTCTCTGGAAACCCAGGCCACTGAAGGCGACTGGAGGGCAGGGACAGTGACAGGGAGCAGAGGCTACAAAGACTATGTGGCCTTCAAGCAGAGCCAGGGGATACTGGGAGAGCACCCCTGGGGCTGGTCATGATGGACTGCCACCAACCGGTGCAGGAGGATTAGCAGCTGTGCTACTATGACCAGCACCCCACAGGCTTCAAGACACCCACTATTCACCATGGAGGAAGAGGCTCCATCACCAGCCACCTGGGCACCCAGGGGGACCCCACATTTGTTTCCATAGTCAACAGACGGTAGGTTCCTATGTCACCCCAACACACACACACACACACACACACACACACACACACACACACACACAGTAACACATATTTCTTCCTCTGAGTCTTGACAGCCATACTCCTTTCCTGGGTGGGGCCTGGAAGGTGAATGGAAAAGATTTGCTGAGAAACCTGGGCTTGTCTGTCCACATGTCTTTCCTCCTTCCCGCTTCCCTGGGAGACTAAAGCTGGATTCGCTGCACAGGATGAGAACGGCCGAGCCGAGGAGAGGAGGGGATACCTGCCTGTTGTCCTATGTCCCTGCCCTGGCCTGTGACTGGGACTCACAGCAGGACTACAGGCCCCAGGCTTTCAGGGCCTGTCTGGGTGGAAGGACCTGTTAAAAATCAATTGCTTCTGCCTGCCACCATTAGGGGTGTGGCAGACACTTGGTGTCTTGAGAGGTGTCACAGCCAGCAGCCAAAGCTTTCCTCTTGCCTCAAGGGGTCAATTCCAAGGTGCCCTCTGTGCGAGGAGCCTGCCCCAGAGGGACCAAGGCCTTGCCTTCTTTCTACATTGCTTCTCCCCTCTCAGAGGCCTGGGACCTCTGGCTCAACGAGCTATCTACTGTGGTAACCCTGTCCTGAGTTCTGCTTCCCTAAAACTCTGAGAGCCCGAGGCAGGAAGCAGCGGACCTGGACTGGTACCATCCCTCTTCCAGAATCATCTTCCCACACAGAATACCTCGTGTCCTTTCCACCCTGGAGACATACCTTTCTTTCTTTCTTCCTTTTTTTTTTTTTTTTTGGGTTTTCGAGACAGGGTTTCTCTGTGTAGCTTTGCGCCTTTCCTGGAGCTCACTTGGTAGCCCAGGCTGGCCTCGAACTCACAGAGATCTGCCTGGCTCTGCCTCCCGAGTGCTGGGATTAAAGGCGTGCGCCACCACCGCCCGGCGAGACATACCTTTCTTAAGGGCAAGGCACTTCTTGCCACTGCCCACATGGTGATGTGGCACTCGCTTGTCCCTTTGGCGGGGACATGAGTGTGAGCTGCTGCCCGTTCACTCCACCAGGGGCTCCTCCCACGTGTCCACATGAGGCGGGGGTGGGGGTGGGGTGGGGTGGGGTGGGACAGGTCTTGCTCACATTGTAGCCAGGGCAGTCCCGCTGCTTCTGATGTCTGGTCTAAGACACATCCAGAACGACAAGCTGGCTGGGTCCCTGCTACTGAACCCCCATTGTCTGGCCCCACCTGCCAAGCTCAACATCTTTCCTGGGTTGCGGCGTCCTTGTAAACTTGACTTTCATGCTGTGTGGGGCAGAGCAAGGGTCAGGGGCTGGCTGAGTTTGCAGTGGTTCTGCTGAGGGTCAGGGAGCTGTTCAGACGGACCAAAGACGGGGCTCTACCCGGGATAACTCACTTCCTGTTCTCACTGACCCTTGACTCCAGCCATCCACAGGCCACTCGCGACTCCCCCTTCCAGCCAGCTGCCTTCTACCTCTGACAGGTAACTCTCTGACCTCTCATTCCCACGGGGGGACATGAGGACTTTTAGGTGCCTCCTCTCTTCCGGTTTGTCTCTATCTCCCCCAGAGGGGCTCTCCCACGCCTGCTAGAGCTCCCAGCTTGTGCCCTAGTTTCGAAGGCACGGGGTGGCATACATTAGCCTGTTTCCTCTGGGAAGGAAGCCAGGCACCCGCTTGGGTATGGGGGTATAGGGTATTTGGAAAGCAGGCATAGGACAGGATCCTCTGTCCACAGGCCCCCACTTCTGTCTGGAGTGACCCCTAGAGCTGAAATGTCCACTCCTTAAATGGGTAGGGAAACTGAGGCCAAAGAGAGGTAAGGAGTCAACAGGGCATCCTCCTGTCTGTCCTTTCTCAGGTCCTTCCTCAAAGCTCTTGTCCTTCCTGTCCCATAGAGTCCAAGCCAGCAGCCCTTCTGGGCCTACTCCAGAATGACCCCTGCCTAGACCAACACGGGAAACCCCAGTGCTCACCCAACCCCCCCCCCCAAGACCTTAATAGGAGAGCCTGGCCTGAGTATTGGCAGAGGTGCCATGGCCGTCCTAGAAGCTGGCTGGACCACACTATCATGGACACCCAGTCTACACAGTGAGGCTTGCTTTCACCAAATGCCAGCTCTTGGGAGCTCCACAGTGGGTTCCCTATGCCTCCCACTCTGCCTGATGATCCATTGCCACAGATGCCCTGAGTACTTGTGTCTGCCACCTGCTTGGGTAACTCTTTCAGGTAGGAGCAGTGGCTTCAGACGGTGCCTTGCTCAGGATAGTCTCTGTTCATGAAAAAAAGGCTTAGACTTGAGTTCCTCCCTTTTAAGGGTTGGTGCCACATCTTGCTGACACAGTAAACGGCCTCCATCTGCTAGCATGTTAGGAAACACAAACTAATTGCCTGTTTATGCCCCCAAAGAATCGCACCTGTGCAGGTGGTACGTACGGGATCTTATCTGAAACACAATGCATGAGCTCAGCAACCAGAGGAGATGAAACTCCCTCACCTTGGGCTATGAAGCCACCCTGACCTCTCATGAGGAGGCACTTTTCAGGAGTCTCTTTCTGGGCTCCCCCATGCGGAGCTCTACAGGACACTCAGACATAACACTGTCCTCTAGGCATAAAAAAAACCCTTTCAACATGAATGTCGGTTAATCAGCCTCTGAGGCCCAAGAGAGACAAGGAGTCATCAGGTGAACCACACAGCCTCCTCATGTCTGTCTTTCCTCATCCTGTCCACCATGCCTCTAGATGGTTCCCCCTACTCCAGGGTCCAGCCAGCAGAGAGACCTGGATAGAGGACTGGGGGCCAGTCTGGTTTCCGCCATCACAGATCCCCGGTGTCCCCTCTGATCCTCCCCTGTCTCCTTTGTCTCTCTGTGTATCTCCATCTCTTACCTCCCATCTCTGCCTGCATCAGCCTCCATTTCTGATTCCTTGTCTGCCTCCTATTTCTGTCTTTGTCTCCCTCTGTCTCTCCTTATCTCACTGTGTCTCTCGAGTTTCTGTGTCTCTGTCTCTGCCTCTCATCCCGCCTTTCTCCTTCTCTCTGTGTTTCTCTCTCTGACTCTGTCGCTCCCCATTTCTCTCCACCTCCCCAGCTTCTCTCCCTAACCCCTCCCCATCCTCCCAGGTCCTCTGCTCTCACATAGGTTGAGTAAATGTCACACCTGAAAGGACAGTATTGGCTCAGGACCCCCAAGACCAAGTTCCCAGCACAAGGGAGATGTGCTTGCTCCAGAGAGACAAAAGGCAGGGAATAAGAGACAAAGACAGGAGACAGAGGATGAGGGAGAAGGGGAAGGGATATTTCTCCTGGGAGTGAGGTAGGGTGACAAAGGACAGTCTCTGGATAGAGAGGAGACAGACGTGGCAAATAGGCCAATGATGGTTTATAAAGGTAAAAGGGAAAACCTTGTGTTGGGATGAGGTGCTTAATTTTAATTGGGCACTTTAATTAGGTGAGCCAAAGGGGGCTTTTGATTGCTGGATCTCAGTAGTCAGCCTCAGGAGGAGGAAGTGGCCAAATAAGGGACTAGACCCTGGGGGCCAGGTTTAGGAACACAATCTAACAGTTTTTAGCAAGGCAGAGGGAATGGGGAGAAGGGCAAGGCCTGCCAGAACTGTGTTTGCCAGGCTTGGGCTGGCTGGAGTCCCTTCAACCCTCATTCCACAAGGGGGCCATCCCACTCCGGATCCTGCCTGGCTCTCACCAGCTGCTTTATGCTGGTCCGCCCAGTGTTCTCACCAACAACAGTGTGCCTTTTCCTTGACCTGTTCTCTTTCCAGAGGCACAGCCCTGGGAGCAGATGGCCGGTGAATGTATCTACCCAGAAGCTGGTTCTGTATCCTTTTCCAAGCTCATGCTGGGTCCTAGTCCTGTGCAAAATGTGGTAGGACACTAGTGGGCTGAGAGGGTACCAAGGGAGGCAAAGTCTTGCCTGGCAACCATCGCCCAAGGATCGCAGCCACCTGAGGAAGACGTGACCCTCCCTTCCCCAACTCTGTGTGTCCCTGCTAGGATGACTCAGCGACTCCTTCAGCATGGAGGTAGGGCCAGGCAGGGATCCTGTGAGATCTCTGTATGTAGACTGCTGCACACCTTCTGGAGCCCTGCCCTTACACCCTCCATGGGCATCTGCTACCCCATAAGGTCTCTGGGCTGGGCTGTGGGCATCCCTTCTGTCTTGGTACTTGTCTATTGTCCCATGAGGACAGACCTCCTGTGCATCAGTCCCAAGATAGCCCCCAGAAGTGGACTGGGCCCTGTACACAGGTGACCCTTCCTCCAGAAGAGCCTAGGCTCAGGCTGCTGGCAGTCTGGCGTCTTCCCTGCCAGGAGCACGGCTGTGAAGGAGGCTATTTTTAGTCTCCGTTAGCCCCCGTAATTATCTTGTCTGCTTGGCCCTGGCACCTGGTCCATTCCCTCTGGAAAATGCCACTTGTCTCTTAATGCTCAGGGCGACTGGGGACGAGGGGATGGTGCCCTTGTGAGCCAGAGTCAGGGACAGTGACCGTGGTCAAGAGCCTCTTCCATTTTTATCTTCTCCCTCCTCCCAGAGGCTCTGTTCTGTCCACTCCACATTGGCCGCACTTGACATAGGCCAGCAGAGCCTCGCAAGAGGCCCTGGCACTTCCTGGCAAGGGAGGTTGGAGGCTTTGGAAGGTGGTCCCCTTTTCTCTCCAGAGCCCTGGAAATAGACTTGGCCTCTGGGAGGCAAACACTGATGAGGCTGGTGGTTCATCCAGACCTTTGCATGTCTTGGGGTCCCCCCCCCCACCATGGTAAGGAGGCCTGTGGCCCCCACGGCACCCAGAACCTGGGAGGCAGCCTCATTGGGATTGACTCTCTCCAGACCCCCCCAGGTGGCCCCCTTGCTGCACAGGGCTTCCCGATAAGAGCAGATGGGGTGTGGGCTGGGAAGTGTGTCTCCCTTGGGCTACCAGTAGGCACGTGCGGGAAGAGGAGCTGGGATGAAGCAAGTGTCTCAGCCAGAGAAGGGAAGTGATTCCCCCTAAGCCCAGGTCCCACTTGTGGCTCCAGTTCCTGTCCTGGGCCACAAGACCACCCCTCATGTCTGTCTTGTGAGGTGGTTGGGCCACAGACTCCCTGCTCTAGAACCTGTTGCTGAGTGCTCCCTTCTGGGAGGCAGGCAGCTCCAATGGTTCTTCCTCTGGTACCTGAGGTCTTGGGTTGGGACCCCAGAAGCTTTTCTCACTAATGCCTTGCTTTACCAACCTCTCCCCAGTCCGCTGCCTAGTCCTCTGTTCTCTGCAGGCATCCCAGCGTGGCCCCTTCCTTCAGCAGGCCCAGGGAAGCTCTCAGGGTCACAGCCATGAGGCAGCGGGGCTCTGACCTCAGCTTATCTCCCCATCGAGGGCCAGCTCAACCAACCAAACCTGTGGTTACCTACTGTAAATGACCTTACCACTGTGACCTACACACACTTCCTCCACTTGGCGGGGCCCCCTGGTCCGCCAATCACCCTTATGGTGGGCAGACTGGACCCTTCATGTTAGATTACTCAGCATGGACCAGGAGACAGCAGCCTTGCTCTTGATCTTGAGATGAAGGTGGGGTTAGTGTCACCACAAGGTGTCAGAGAGCGCCAGAGAAAGCCAGAGGGAGAACTGTGAGGGTGCCAGAGCAATGTCCGCACGATTCCAGCAAGGACTCACTGCTGTGGCTGGCTTCAAAGACCAGGGATATGTCAAGAGCCCTGAGATGTAGCCCCAGAGCCTGCCTGAGGCTCTCCATGGCACATTCTAAAGGACAGCTGTGACACCCTGTGGGTGAGCTATGGCCCATAGAACTGTGAGACCAGCATTGTTTCTGCCTCAGCCTTAGGACAGCAGGCCCTTCCTCCTCCTCACTGTGGCCACAATGTCCCTCTGTGTCCCCTTACCTGTCAATACGACCATGATGGTGTCAGCTCCTGTGGCTGCTGCTGGGCTGACATACAGGTCAGTGGAGGCGCCGTGCATGTGGATGGCGCTCTGTGGACTGCCACGGAGGAGGTGTTAGCAAGGGTTGGCTGTGGCTGCCCCTCACACACTGAATGGCAAGGCCATCAACGTTTAGAGCGAGCCCCAGGGCACAGCTGGGATGTCGGACTGGTTGCCTGCCCTGGACCTGAGCCCGGGTCCGCAAGAGCAGCATGTGAGCCTGTGATAGGATGAAAACAGTGAGGACGGAGCTGCTCATTGGACTGCAGCCTTAGTGAGGGGAGCTGATCTCTGGGCTGCTCCCAGCTGCTCAGTTTCAAAGCTGTTGCTCTTTATTTACCTTCCCTGTGTTGCCACCTCTGCCCCTCCCCCACCCTCCAGGCATTGCTATGGGAACCAAACTGGGGTAACCGCAGCATCCCTGATGGATAGGTCTCAGACCCAGCAAGTGAATGCCTGTGTGGGCATTTACAGATAGACTGGGGCCTGTGGGTTGAAGAAAGGTGCCTGGGAGATCTGTGATTAGAATTGTGTGTGTGTGTGTGTGTGTGTGTGTGTGTGTGTGTGTGTGTGTTAAAAATTATCTTCTTGCCATACATGCAATGCATGCCCCCAACCAGGATACAACGCCTCACCTTTTCAGTCACTCCTTCTCACCATCATGGATCCCGGTCACAGAGACCTCAGCTTCCTCCACACTGTCTGCTTTAGACTGTCCTTGAACTTGTCCTGATGCCCTCCCTCCTCACTCTGCCTTCCTTGGCTTCCTCAGCAATGGACCAGCAGAACTGCGGACGATGCCTATGACCTCACTCGGGGACATGCGGGTGGCTCCTGTGAATCCTCAAAATGGGGTCCCTTCCTCCTGACCTGTGTCCCCCATTTCACAGTGTCTGCTCTTGCCCCCCATCCTCTCTCTCCCTCTATACTCTGTGGCCACCGACAGGTGAGTGCAGGGGTCCTGGGCAGCCAGCACCAGCTGTGTAGGTGGCGGTGGTGTGGCTCTGTGTATAGCCTGGAGCGGTTCTCCGTGCTAACAGCAGCCTACGCCTGTCACTGCTTCCGCCCACGGGGATCTGGGGAGCTCCGTGCCTGGAGTCCCAAAGAGCTGTGTAGGCAGGCAGAGAGCCTCGGGGCTGGGCTTTCAGACTGCAATCTTCCTTCCTCTGCCTCCCCCCGGCTTAGCCAGTGAAAGGCTCTAGGAGCCACAGGGTGGAGGAAGGTGCCTTCTACTTGAGGTCTTGAGCCTCACCAGACCAAGTTCCCAGGACCAAGCCCACCCCCCCCCCCCCCCCCCCCACCCCACCCCCACCCCACCTCAGATAGAGCCCTAGGGCAGGTAAGCCAAGAGGACCAAGACAGACTCTCTTTTCAGCTCTCACTGGCCACAGGACTGACTCATCTGGTCAGTCTCTCAAATGCTTCATATGTGGTAAGATATTTTGGACTTACTAGATAGGATAAAATATACAAGAAAAATCAATTCCCTGCTCTCATTTTCCCCCATGGCTAACAGAAAATGCTAAGTCATGGTGGTGACTCACTGTGCAGCTCTGTCCACGGTGCTGACCAGGGCAGTGCCCAGAGCCTCATCCAGGAAGCCACCAGGAACAGGGGGCAGAGCGCCATGAAAACTGGCTTTCCTGCCCAATGCAAGGGTTGGGACTAACATAGATGAACCTCAGGGGATGGAGCCCAGGCTGCTCTCCCAGACTTCCTGGGGGTCTGGTGTACCAAGCGGCTCCAGACAGAATGAGTGCTCCTCAGGCTCTGTCGTGAACCCATTCTGCCAGAAACATAGATGGACACATTTATATCCGTCAACAAAGTTGAATTTATTGAATAATACTAACTTTGCAGGCTCTGTTTGTTTTGCTGGCTGCAGTTTGTCAAGTAGTCTTGATATCCTTTGATGGCTGGTGGAGGCAAACAGGTTCTTTTATTCCCATCTATTATTAATATTAACCCTCAGGTGACACATCACACAGTGAAACACACACACACACACACACACACACACACACACACACACACACACACACTTGTTATAGAACGACAACAAAGTTTCTAAAAGTCTGCAGCAAGGTTTAAGGAGTTTAGAGAGGCCTCACTGGAGGCAGAGGAAGACAGCTGATGGAGGTGCAGTTGTAAGTCCCAAAGATGGGAGGAGAAAGATGAACAACCCAAATTATCATGGCCAAATTAGTTAAAGCAAGCAATTAATGAAAGCAATCTTTTTTTTTTATTCATGTACAGGGGCTGTCTCACCCTAAGAGGGCTGATTCAAGAGGTAGCCTTGCATGTTGAAGACAAGATTTTTATAGTTCAAGAATAGGGAGTTTCCAAATGGGAGATTTGGTGGACAAAAGAGATGGGATTGCAAGAGCAGAACATAAGAACAGTTTAGTCATCACAAACCTCCTGAAACAAAGACATGATTGCAAGGTGGTCGTAACAACAGGTAGTCATAACAAGGTAGCCGTAACAACCCTTTTGAAACAAAGCTAGGGTTACCAGATAGTGTGGGAGTCCAACTCCCACCTTTTGAAGGGTTCTTAGGTGGAGGAGAGAGGAATTAAGAAATGATAGACCTATCCAATGAGGAGAAAGACAGAAACACAGGATAGCTTTGGGAGGGCCTGAATTAATATCCAACAACCTCATCCTTTATTGAAAAGGGATTTTTATAACATGTCAAGGGGAGAGGCAAAAGACCTACCCCTTGCAAGATCAAAGCACACTGTACAGCCAAGTGCAGATCCTTCCAAACACCTGGTAAATATACCCGTGACCAAATCATCTCTTTATGCAGCCCTGTTGTGTAAAGCAAGCCCAGATTCTCTAACCCTGAGTAGGTTCTCACTAGATAGCCTCTGTGGATTCCCACAGGTCCCCCTTATTAATAATATAAAGGGCCCCTCAGACCCCTAAGATGAACTGTGACTGTCTTAGGTCACCTTTGTCACTAGACAGCCTTACCTGTCATCAAGATACACTTTCTGCCAAGTGTATTCTGTCTTAGGTTGACAGCTAGCAAGAAGGACTTACCCATCTCTGACTACCAGCCTCTGGCAAGGGAGGATGCAGAGCTTAACTCTATGAAGCTCTGAAGCTCCTTTTCCACTGAGAGCTTGCAAATAGATAGAATAATTACAGCAATACTCCTGCTCCTTATGGCTAGTATGCCTCCTAGTGAAGGAGTATAGGATGATAAAGATAGAATGGCCTTTTTGAATGGGTCTAAGATGACTATAGCAGTCTTAGCTGCACTAAGCCCTTTTTTAAATCAATGAACTCTTGATGCAACTGCATCAAATAAATCAGTAAATTCCTGATGCAACTGCTTCAAACCTAAAGACTTTTTATTATCACTATTAACAGGTTAACACCATAATTCTAGCATGAATATTACTATACATAATTACAATTCTCACAAACTTACATCCAAAAGCAAACTTTCAATTTGCATTTCATAGACTTTAGCAAACATTCAAAAGCAAATTTTTTTAGTTTTATTTTTTTCTATTATCAGCTTGATACAGTACAAATTCTTATCCTAATAGTGAAATGTTTCACTGAGGCTTGCCCAGTGATTGAGTAAAACCAAAACTTATTATAAGCCACAGTCATCCTAGGGTTCCCACCCCCCCCCATGTAGCCTCCCTGGTTCTGTGGGTTGCAGACTGATTGTTCTTTGCTTTATATCTAGAATCCACTTATGAGTGAGTACATACCATGTTTGTCCTTCTGGGTTTGGGTTACCTCACTCAGGATGATATTTTCTAGTTCCATCCATTTGCCTGCAAATTTCATGCTGTCATTGTTTTTCTCTGCTGAGTAGTACTCCATTGTGTATATGTGCCACATTTTCTTAATCCATTCTTCAGTTGACAGGTATCTAGGTTGTTTCCAGGTTCTGGTTATTATGAATATGATGCTATGAACATAGTTGAGCATTATCTTTGTGGTATGATTGAGCATTCCTTGGGTAGATGCCTAAGAGTGGTATGGCTGGGTCTTGAGGTAGATCAATTCCCAATTTTCCGAGAAACTGCCATACTGATTTCCACAGTGGTTGTACAATTTGCACTCCCACCAACAGTGGAGGAGTGTTCTCTTGCTCCGCATACTCTCCAACATTGACTGTTGTAGTGGGTAGCCATTCCAGCGTTGATCTGGAAGTTCCAATCCCCATTGAGGCTTCAGTAACTGTCACACCTACAAGATGGGGCCAAGAGAGGGCCCTGAAGACCCGGGATCCAGATGCGCTATGCTTTCTCTGTCCCTGGACCCTGGATGGTGGAGGTTGACCGAGCAGAGTTCTCCAGACTGAGACACACCTTTCCCAGACCCTGCGACCTACCTATTCCTTCATTTGTAAGTTACACCACTAATAAACCTCCCTTTTAACTACATGGAGTAGCATTAATAATTTTACCAATAGACTGTCATTAGTGTTTTTGATCATAGCCATTCTGACAGGTGTAAGGTGGTATCTCAGAGTTGTTTTGATTTGCATTTCTCTGATGACTAAGGATGTTGAGCATTTC